CTAAGGAGCATGCACTAGGAGGCAAGATGTAGGCGATAAGGGCACTAAAAGCGCAGGGGCCAAGAGGCAAGGCGGCATTGGGCGTCGAGGTGCAGGGAGGCGAGGTGACGCTGGGCATTGAGTTGTAGGTGCCAGGAGGTGAGGTGTGGGCACCGAAGGCGAAACACTAAGATTATTGATGGCAGATGTTGGAGGTGATGGCTACGAAAGGGATGAAGTGCCAAATTTTGGCGTGCAAACTAATGCAGTCCCACGAGGCTTAGACGGCCCGAGTTCTGACAGCGTACCGAGAAGTAACAGGAACAATGTTACACAACGTCCACAGTGACGCAAGCATCACAACAAAGTAGGCGTTGACGATTACAGTTCCAATGTGAGCACTCTTTCCGGTATCATCAATACTGATGTTGAGATTGTTATGATTGTCTCTACTTTTCATATTCCCCCTACAATGACATAGGTGTCCGCAACCGTTAAGTGCCTTTTTGTGAGTGCCAACTAGCATTAGTAGGTTTTGAGGGCTGTGATGAGGGAGAGGCGGACACAGTCAGCTATAGAGGAAAAACTTAGGGTGGCTCACGAGAGAGCTGCACCTTTTGAGGCCGAACGTTGGCAACTCACAAGAGAGCCGCATCTAAGTTGGAGACTAAGACTAAGGTTACTTTCGCGAGAGTAAAGGTAGAGTTTGAGGTCTACATCTCTAAAAGTTGAGCTTATAGCGACTCGCAAGAGAGCCACTAAGCTAGAAGCTAAGATTGATGCTATTTGCGCTAGAGTAGAGACAGAGTTTAAGGGTGGCTCGCGAAAGAGCTGTTAAGCTAGAGGTTGAGATAGAGGCTACTTGTGCGAAAACAGAGGCAGGGTTACGGGAAGCTCGCGAGAGGGCTACTAGAGCTACGAGTTGCTTATGAGAGAACTACTAGAGTTAAGGTAGAGCTATGAGTAGCTCATAAGAAAGCTACTAGAGTAGAGGTTCATTCTCAAGAGATGGAGAGAAGAAGAGAGGTTGTAGAGAAGATTGTCAATGATCTATTGGATAGCTTTGCAGGTTCTTTTATTTATGGCTACTAGGAGTTCAAGGGGAAAGATTCAGTGACTTTTCCCAACATAGACTTCTTGAAATTTTTCTCATATTAGGAGTCGGGCGCAAATGGTGATGATGATGGCAAGGATTCTAGCAGCGAGGAAGGCGATGGCAGAGTGCTGAGGATGTTTGATAGATTGCATCTTTTGCCCTTATGTTTTTTTTTTTTTTTAATTTTAGGTAGTGTCTAATTGTGCTCTAAATTTTGTAGGCATGGAATTCAGGCTTGTAGGCACAGAATTGAGGGGTGCAGGCACAGAATCGAGGGGCACCAGAGGCGTAGACATGGCATCTAGGGATGCAAGGGGCACAGGCGCAGCTTCAGGGGTGCAAACACGACAACGAGGGACATAATCACAACATTAAGGATGCAAGGGGCATTGGCACGACATCAAGGGTGCAGGAAAGACATCGAGCGCGCAGGCACGACATCAGGGGCATAAGCACGACATCAGGAGAGCAAGCATGGAATCGAGGGCACAAGGGGCACAGACACGGCATCAAGGGGTGCAAGGGGCACAACAAGATAGGTTTCCATGGTCCACATCTTGGTTTTCTCCCATCTTCTTGGAACAAAGGGTTGACAACAATGGAAGATGGAGTATGCACACGAGGATATGGAGTCGGGGTGCCCTGGCGTTGAGGTGGGGCGCATTTGCGCTGCAATGGGGCGCTTGGGCACAGCTCCTTGTGGGTGCCTAACAAGCAACAATTGGATGAGTTGTTGATTTTGGTTCACCAGCAACTGCATATTCTCTAGCAATTATGATTCAGCGACAAGATTGCCGAAAGGGGCGGGACCTCATTGTGGTGTAGTTGATTATCATCTTCCCTTTGTTAATTCTTGGATCTAGTCGTAATAGCCATAAGAAGTGGGAATACAGTAGGGTGAAAACTAAATCATTCTCATAGATGACGCCAAATTGATGATGCACAAAATGTGTTTATGCAAAATCAATCAAGGAAGTGATAGTGTATGTGATAGTTTATATGATAAGGCATGCTCAACACAATAAGAAACACAAATTAGGTTTGGTCTGAGTGATCTACCCCACAGTAAACAACTACGATGACTAGAGAGCTTTATTACTCAAGGTGTGTTGGTGTGTAGAGAGTGCAAAAAATTGTGAGATGTTTCTCATGTGTAGATAGGATTTACAATTTATAGGCAAGTAAAACTTCATAACATTTTCGAAAGAGCCTTGATTGAGGTTTCATCACGGGGAACAGGGTAATTCCGTGAAGTCAGCGTGATTTTCGTAACATGTGAGGTAATTCCGTGAAGATGGCATTGTGCACCCCGATAACTACGTTTCACATACTCCTTTCATAAGATGGAAATCATCATGTGCGCTAGTAATAGACTGGACCCTCCAAAACGGTGAGCTTTGTCCAACTAAAATTATAAATGAACTTTCGTTGGTCTGCATATGTAATATGTGTTTAGTCTATATCAGTAATCTAGTCCCGATCTACATCTAGGCTTGTTCTGGGTTGGGCCGGCCCATCATCATGAATTTTTAAGTGAGAAGTGACTTGTTGGTCCATAATTGTTTAGTCAGGTCAGTGAAAACAGCAAGATTTGACTTATACCGTTGCGATATGATCTTCAATAATAAGGCTACGTTTTGGATTCTTTAGACAAGTCAAGCTTGTCTATTAATTAAGTTCCTCGGCAAAAAATAAGAAGCCAATGCATCAATGGTAAGAGTACTTGTTTTTGGAATCTAAAAATTTAATACAATTTATTGAAATAATGATGTGTTAATTTATATGATTTTCAATAAAAAAAAATTCAAAAATGACAGTAATTTTATTACAACATATTACTGTTTTAAATTTCAATGGCATTACTTCTTTTATCAATAAAAATCATAGTCTTGATATAACACCACTTGTCATTGGTCGTTGTTCCGACCAATTCCTTATACGAATGTTGTTGTAATATATTGCAATTGATTTAATCCTTAGAATATTGTTTGTAACTGTTTGATTTACGTTTCAAAAAATTGTATCCGAAAATTATTTATAAAAAAAAATTTCAAAAACTGATTTTTATATTTTTTTTGTGGCAAAACTTATTTGGTTATAGTGCAGAATAAAAAACAAAAAATCTGTTTGGAAATGCACATGCCAAAAGATGCAAACCGAGGGCTATAATATTTTAATATAATAAATTTGATAAAATACAAAAAAAAAAAGTGGAAAATCTAGCCATGAACTGCATTGCCAGAGCTACGCCATCGACTAAGAAGACAGAAGGAGTAGCCATCGACTGAGAAGAAACTAGATCTGAAACCAGTAGCCCGAAAAATGATTCTTTCGTCGAAGAAGGCCTAGATCTGGAAAAAAATAAAGCTCAAAGAGAATTTTGCCGCTAACAACTCTTTGGCCGTTGGCGACTCTGTGGTCTGCCATGTGCGCATGCTGCTGCTGCACTCATTTCTTGTGTGCAAAATGTCCATCTATTTGCTGAGCATTGTTTTACAGTAGGTAGTCGTCGGAGAAGACCCAGATTTGAATCCTGCCGGAGAGCTCTCGGTCGTCGGAGAAGACGATCTCGTTTGAACTCTCTCTCAGTCGTGGAAGCTCTCCAGTCGTCGAAGTGACGTAGAAGATGCGGTTTCACCAAGTGGAGAGAGAGAAAGTCAGGCAGAGAGGAGTGGAAAAAAAAACCCTATATACTCCTTCTTTCTCCGTTCCTAAATATACGTCGTTTTAGATAATTTTTTTTGTTCCATAATATCTTCATTTTATGAAACCAAAGCATAATAAATATTTTTTCTTTCAAATTTTTCCTTATCTCTATTTTCCAATAAATATTTAATAGATTAAATATACACTAAATGTCTTTTATATTCTTTTCCTTCCCAATACATATTGAATAAATGTATTTTAGTCTTGTATAATTATTTTTACTCATATTAGAGCTATTTAATAATTTCCTTAATCCCTGCGCAAAAATCTTAAACGACAGATATTTAAGAACGAATGAAATATATACTATGACTAATTTTACTGCTAAAGGAATTCGAATGAGAGACCTTATTAAAGAGTGAGATTGTTTCCCGTATTTTTTATTTTAGTTTAAAAACTCAAAAAATATCTAAACGATGTTCTCTAGTTTTTATTCTCAATTCCCACTTTTTTTGAAAAATTATTTTTGAAAATTGTTGTACAAACAACATTTTCCAAAATTTTGTATTTTGAAAACAAAAAACTATTTTCGAAACACAAACCAAAGACCACCTTAATTCTTAATTTTTACGTTTTTACATCTAGATAACAGATGTTATAAAGGATTTAGTTTCTGAGCACTACATAAATTGAAACTATGTATGATATTGACCGTTGGGTATGTGTCTCGAACATGAATATTAGCATTAAAATAGAACACCAAAATAAATATTCTAAGGTAAATGGATTAAAATCGCGCAGTTTCTTCACAAAACCAAACCTGCAACAAGGGCAACATCCATTAACCACTACATTAGGCTGGCTAACAAACTCATTGCATGCCATTCATCAGAAGCATCATGGTCTGGGAAGAGGCTCAGACCATTTCAGATAGACAATACTGGCTCCAACATCATCCAATCACTTCGAAGTAGGACAAAGTTTGGCGAAAACAGCTTGGTAAATGGGACAAGCAAAATTCAGCAGAGCATAAGAAGGCTACAGCCTGTGAAAGGTTGATCAGAATCACCTCACTGAGAGAGATTTAACCGCATATGGAGGTGGAAAGATGATGTTTCCATACAGTGATAGGCCAAATGCAAGCGACAATGTGACATAGTAATCGGTTATCCATTCCACACCTTCATTTGTCTGTTGCAAATTATCTTTACCACCAAAAAAAAAAAAAAAACCTCACATGCAATAATGGCACTTTACAGGCATATACTTTGATTACAGTGACAAAGTGAAGAGAGTATTTCCAGATCTGAACAAAAACTAGCACAAGCGACAATGTGACATAGCAATCGCTATCCATTCCACACCTTCATTTGTCCGTTGCAAATTATCTTTACCCAAAAAAAAAACACTCACATGCCATAATGACACTTTACAGGCATATACTTTGATTACAGTAACAAAGTGAAGAGAGTACTCCCAGATCTGAACAAAAACTAGCATAAGTCTTGATTCATCATTAGTTACCTTGTAAAATAGTATATAATCAGAAAAATGCCCACGAAAGATGCCACTAGAGTAAACATTCCCCGGCTTGATTTGGTCTTGAATACCTAAATAATTGAAAAAAAAAAAAAGAAATTATGTAAAAAAGAACTCATAACAATGGGAATGGGAAAGGTCAATAGAAAAGTCCATAGAAGGCAATGGGAAATTTATAGCAAATAACAATGGACATCTGGTTCAAATACCATTTTGAACTTATCCATAGTTCCAGACAGAATTCCCCTCGAAGCATCCATATCGTTGCCCTGAATGACAAAAACAATGAATGCAAAATATTATTAATCACAACAACAATAATAGAGGATATGGACTTCATGATTGCAGCATACACACCATTCTGTCCAGCATATGATTATGACTCTCCACCTCCTCATGTATATCACCTGACAACTGTTTGACATTACACACATCAATACTCAAATTCAGAGAATTACAAAATTCATGAAGCAGGGAAACAACAGTGGAATTCGTTGTTTATTAAACATGACCGGATATCTCAGTAAATTCTGTATTATTACTCAGGACTAAAATGTATAATCATCTACTTTCGGCCAAAGAACTAGACAACCATGTTCACAACCCTACACAATATGTTCGGTAGTACATCAACAGAACTAAAACATATCATGTTTTTAACTTCAGAATCAGGGTAACCACAAACCACACAATTTATTCCAGTAAAGTTCAGACAAATAACCAGTTGACCTCTATATGAGAAGCAATCATATCATTTCCACACAGATTACAAACAAACTCACATCCCCTGCTCCACGCCAGACATCTCCCACCCAACATAGAAAGATGCGGAAAAGAAGCCAGAAAAGTAAGATGCATCCACTGCACACATAAGAAAATGTCAATATATAACTTACTCTTTTCAGCAGATTAACTCGATCCTGCAACCCATCCATTGNTGCATCCACTGCACACATAAGAAAATGTTAATATATAACTTACTCTTTTCAGCAGATTAACTCGATCCTGCAACCCATCCATTGCCGTATCATTCTCTTGTTCATCAATTTCATGTGAGGAGTAGGAAGAAGACGCTCTAATACCACCCTCCTCAATGCCATCAAAAAGAGCAGCCCTATTGCCCCCATAGTCCCTGCATCCAAGTACAGCCAATAACCATGAAAGAATCACATCATGTGAATTCGATTACTATTATAAAGGGAGAGGAAGGGGTTTGGTATCCACATGTAAAATACCTGTAGCACCTTTATTTGCTTTCCACTTTAGCCACTTGCAAGTAGCAACCGCTAACTACTCACAACTCCTCAACTACACATAACTCCTTATCAATTGCAATCAACCACCTATATAGCAGGGCCAGCCCTAGGCCTAGGTCACAGAGGTGGCCACATAGGGCCCCCGATTTAAAGAAATTTTTAGGGCCCCAGTTTCAGCTGGGCAAGTTTACTTATAGGGCCCATTGAAAAGTAGTGATCAGCTTGGGCTTTCCCTCTCCACTTTTGTCGCATATGTTTGCAAGCCAAGGCCCCGCACGCTCTCTCTCTCTCTATCTCTATCTACGTCTGACGCACGCCCACCAGCCCATCTCTCTTGTCTCTTCTTTTCATCGTCTCACAGCGGTCATGCTGCAAGACCTCTCACATTTTCTCTCTGCAATTTCTCGCTACAGACCACCATACAATCATACGAAGATCTTGTCGACAATAGATCCCTTACAGAGGCATTCAACGAGCTTACAGAGATTTGTTCCAGGTTTATTTTCTTTGCGAAACTAAATGAGGTTGCAAAGATTTGTGCCAGATTTTTTTCTTTGCCAAACTAAATTCGATAAATTTAATTTGGTGGTTGGAATCTGAAAAATGTTTGGCAGCTGACATTGAACATTAGAATACAAATTATTTCCAGCTATATTGTGGGGTTTGATAAAATCGGGTCAGTTTAATTTCAGATTTGTTCTGAGTCTTGTATTAATTTTCAGAGATATACTGAAAAAAAATTATTTTTCAAACTTCAAACACTTGTGCTTACACAACTTACTATCAGAAAAATACATTTTTCTTGTTCATTGGGTTTTCATTTTCGCGGAAGGTTTTTTTCCTTTTTTTTTTGTATGTATCCCATAGTGCATACTGCTTATCCACCTTGAAATCTTCTACAATATTATTCCTATATTAGATAATATTGTTAGGGTTCTTTACTTGTCCATTCAAAAGATTTAGATAGATTTGCCTGGGGAAAAAAAGATTTAGATAGGCTATATTGGGATAATGCAAGTTCATTAGACATATTTTAAATTTTAATAATTAGTTAGTATTGTCTATTTTATTTTATTAATATTGATGGGCCTCGTCAACAATTTTCGCCTAGGGTCTCCATTGATGTCGGGCTGCCCCAATTGTATAGTTTTACTAGGAAGCACAGATATGAATACAGGAAATGGGTACAGCTAGGATACGTCTATAATAAAATATATTTTATATTTTAATATTATTTAACAACTTAAAAATAATAATTTTTAGTAATTCTTTAACAATAGTAAACAAAATCAGTAGTTTTTACCTTAAAAAATGTGTAATCTCGTCTTATTATGAATATCCATAAAGTGAACATGATCAATTAAAGAAATTAGAATCAACACTAGTTTGTTTGCTTCCAAGTATTTATTTTTAAGCTTATAGTGTAGCTATTCATTCTTTTGACATGTAACAGTAGATAATATTTAAAAAACACTTGTGTCTTCAAAGTCAAATCGATTTTTTTTATATTTTGTATTGTATGTAAACTCAAAAACAAATGATATAGGTTAAAATTAAAAAATGTACATCTTACTTCATGTGTAGAAGTATCCATGAAATATTTATATATTATTTATTATCGGATACGTATAATGCGTATCCGATATGTATTCTCAAATATCCGACGAGTATGGTATTCGATACGGGTACCTCGATCTTAACGAAATATCCACGCTTCAGTTTATCTCTACTGGCCTCTTCTCACTCCCATATTTCTCTCCCTCACCCTCGTCCTATCTCACTCCTTTAGGATCACGCACAAGTGTGGTTGTATGCACAACCCATTGGTTTAAATATATGGGCAAGCTCAACAAAGATAAATGAGAACCCATATACAAGAGGACGTTCAAAGTTTTAACCTTCAAAATCATTCATGACAAAAGAAACAAAGAGAGGAGTATACTCAAAAGGTTCAGTATTGAGAATTATCATGTAGACATCATATGCATATTGTATCTCAAGTATGATAAATTAGTAAATCTGAAGTTTCTCCCCACTATAACAGTCAAAGAAAAAAGAAAGGGAAAAATTAAGAGTCCCTGAAAAAAAAAATCAACTCGTAATAGCAATTGAACACACTTGAAACGAATCAAAAAACCGACTCAAGATGTATGCGCCATACCATATTGCATAAAATTAACAATATAAACAAATCGCATTCATGAACAATTCAAACGTCGTAAGCAAGAATCGGCGATTTGGTGTGTTCGAACGTGGAAGAGAGGGGCAAAAAAAATCAAGAGCAAATTCTAACATCGATGCAGTCATAACTACACTGATCAAACGGTAGAGAGTAGAAGAAGAGAATCAAATCACATAAATCAAGAAAATTAGGGGCCAAACCTTCTAGCATTCATGGCTCTTGATATCACAGTTTCTGGAGATCCCTTTCTGCTAATAGAAAATCTTACCGCAGTGTTCGAGCCCTAATTCTGTATCTGTATAACAACAACAACAAAAAACATAATAAAATATTGAAATCAAAAGAAAAGTGATGTTTAGTTTCATCACGGAACTCAAACTATATATGTATGGAATTGGGATGTTTGGAGCAAAAGAAAAGTTAAAGAAACCTGAGCAAAATCAGATCTGATGAGAAAATTAGGAATAGTTTGGAAGGAAGACTTGTACCGTTTGTTAAACAACAACACAGTAAAAGGAAGGGAAGCACCACGCCTGACAAGTATTGATCAATCTTATCAAACCCGGTCATGTACAGCGGTTCAACCCGACACTGGTAGCCCAGTGAGCCGGCCCGGTTTTTTGATATATCGAAAAATTCAGAGTTCTTCGTCAAAAATTTTTAATATCGAAAAATAATTTTTGGGAGCATGGTCTTATTCAATTATTCAATTTTTGAATTATATTTTTACATATATCTATCAAATAAAACACCTAACATTTTAAATTTTTATTTTTTGCATATTTTTTCATTCATTTCTATCGTATAACTCATTTTTATCACAAATTAAATAATTTAATTTTTAATTAATTGTGCCATTGTTCATGTACCATAAAATTACACATATTGATATTTGTAAAATAATGCGTAAAAATAATTTTCAAATCATATAATTAAAGAAAGAAAAGGAAAAACAATTACTATTTAATATAGTAATATTATTGTTTGAGCAATTTAGATTTTATATTATATTGTACTTTCAAGTACAAGTAATTGGTATATATATATACTAGGAATATCATGTGGCTAAAAGCACGGTACAACATAAATTAACCGATTAATTTAAACATTCAACATTCTAACTAATTTAAATATTCAATTTTTAAAAGAGATGTTAGTAGCCGTTGAATAGATTTATTTGAAATTGTCGGAAAAAGTTATTAAATTTGTCATGTTTCATTTGTGTAGAAGATATTAATTTTAAATTTTATTTTATTAAATGATTAATTGTGAATGCAGAAACCCAAACATCCCCTTATAAGTACGTGGCCACAACAAACTGTAAATGCTTGCGAGTTCAAAAGCAGCTATCAGCAACTCCGTAAGCATATATATCAACTAACATATGCCAAATACTGTTTGATAAAGCTGTGTGTGTTCCCATGGCAGAGCTGGAAAGGAAAGGGATATATGACTGTTCCTCACCATAGACATGTTCTAAGTAACACGAATAAGAAGTACAATCATGATGAAGATACATGTCATTACAAAGATCACAACCCATGTGAAGCACGTGGTCTTAAAACTCTGCGATAATAACTCCAAGCTATGCTCAACTGCCTTTTCTGTTGAATCAACTACCTGCACTCACAATAAACTAAATCGTCAGTTGATCGATGATTAGCCCATAAAAAATATGCACACATGAAATATTAACCCCTAGCTTAAGGGTTCAAGGCTGGTGTGGAGAGAGAGCAGAATACAATAGAACAAGAAGACAATGAAAAATGCTCCCACACATATGGATAGAATGGGTGGGGATGGTATTGAGATACCAATTTTTTACAGTACTAACAACACATTCAAGACACAAGTAATCTGGTGTTGGTGGCCTTTATGCAGCAATGGCTGCAGGGAAGGTTCCAGTGAACTGATGGTGGTCTTCCACTATCTTCAATTAGAAAATTTGGAAAGCTTAACATAGCAGTGACGTTCGGTGGGCATTGTAGTATGAAGCACCAAAAACCATGACTGATGGAAATTTCCATGCCACTATACCAGTCCCAGATCTATATACAAAAAAAAAAAACAAAAATGAATGAAATGCTTTCAAACCTCTTGGTTTCTCAAAGTGGTGCACCTACTAGCAAGAATAGAGTTCTTAACTCAGAAGCCATCGTATTCTTCTTGAATAAGTAAAATATAGCAAAATTCTTGCATTTTCTACTGTATCATGGCTATTGATGCCCAAACTACTGCAAGAATTTTAAAGATATGGCATGGAACACAACTGTCCAACCTACCTTCTCCAGCTTGTTAGAGTGACTTAACCATATACAAATAATATCCACTGCTCTCTCTCCTATATAACAAGATAGTTTGAGGCTTCAAGTTCTATACATTAAGTTAACTACCAGGGTATTTACTTTCACCGTGTTTTTGAGAGATTGACTCATCATTAGACTACTCTCTTTAAGTTGCCACGCCAAACCAACCATTTCATTGGTCAAGGCTTCTTGAAGTTTTCTGTTCAAGTCAATAGAGAAGCAATAAGAAACTCGCAACGCCACACTGAATCATTTGCAAATTGCAATAATAATTAATAACTGATACTCAATTTAGTTCATGCGTTAAGTTTGCATTCTTTCTACAACCTCAAGTCAAGCAGTTGCAATGATCAAGTTCAAAGATGGTTTTGTGCATACTAATTGGCCAACTGAACTTCTGAGTGGGTGACCTGGTCATGTCCTTGAGTTGATATCAAACGTAAACACAGGACAGTAAGCCGCCAACTTATATATAAATTGTCAATGATTTTATAGAGAAAAGCCAAAGAGGAGGACCTCCAATGTACAGTCACTAAGTGATGAAGAACCAATATTACATCCACTATCCATCTCTAAAATAACCCACATTCTAAAGTTCTCTTTAAATTTTCACAAACATTTACCCATAAAACTGGATAAACTTGTCTTGACAAAGTTTCATAACATCATTTTTCTTCTTGAATTCAACTGCAGGTAAGTGTATCACTAAAACACAAAACAAATAAGTCTAGAAATGCAAATCCAACATTTGAAGAGGCTAAAATTATGCTAGCTATGAAGGCACTTAATTACAGATGGTGCTCTATCTCCTCAGTTTACTCCCATAAGAGAGGTAGGCAACGGCATCATGTGGGTTGGTTTGGGCGGGGGGAGGTGAAAAAGTGCAACCATAGGACAAAGAGCTCAAAAATCCAAATGACTATAGCCACTGGGCCCAGATACAGAACCACCAACAATTTCAGCACAAGGCCTATGTATGTACCAACACATGTAAGTAGTTCAGTGCACCCGGATCTGCATACAGGTATCAAGAACCCAAAAGGTTCTTTTATAAGCAGCAGCTTCCCACTGTTGTTATCATTCTCTTACTTTGTTCCAGTTACTAAAAATGCAAGTATGTGCCACCTACCTGTGCTTTCCAATGTGCACCTGTGCTGCAGCATCCAATTTGACAGGTGCTGATTGATCACCTTCAATTCGACAATTGATGGAGATCTGTTTCACTCAAATTGCAGCAAAATATATAGCCAAGGCATATGACAAGCAGTACAATAAGTGAAGCATGCAACATAGGTTCACTTACACAAATCTGCTCCTCAATCCAGGAGAGTGGTAAATACTTTTCCCTTCTGCTTTAGAAGGGCTTCTTCCACTGACAGATGTCCAAGCAAAGGGCTCCTGAAATACTTGCATATTAGACTGAACTTTCCAAGCAAAGAACTCAGTAGAAGAGCTATCTGCTATCCATATACTTGGTGGTACTTTTTATTTAGGAAGCAATAGGAAACTTTTATTGGGTTGGACTGTTCGATATTAATGGGAAAATGTAGAATGGGAGGCTTGAAGGCATGGAAAGGGGAAAAACTCCTGTCAACATAATTTCCGTCCGCCGTTTTATATTTATATTTCTACTGGAAACAACCAAAACATGCAAATTGTGAAATTCAAAAGAGTGAAGAGTATATGCACCGAAGGGACTGCTAGTATAGCAGCGGTCACTTCAATTTTCTCTGAATAATCATTCACCATAGCTTTTGAAACCCTGTATAAACAGCACAAAAGAAGAGATACAAATGTTACAAAATTATGCACCTTAGGAACTCTCAGATACCTTGACACATAAATATCATCAATAGACCGAAAGATTAAGACTAAATTAGCCTTAAACAGAATAGTTTAAATCATGCAATTGCATGCTTGTACCTTGGACAACACAACAGGCCAATAAATAACTCATCCAAATTTAGATACGAACAGAGCTGCCTATGCATTGCTACCACATAAGAAACCAGCTAAGACACAAAAATCTTGCTCAATACTCTAAGTAGCATATTCAGAATGGAGTATATATTCCAGACCACAACGCCCACAACACTGGTATCTACATAGTGAGTAGTCCTCATCACACTATTGAACTTTTAAATTGGTGTCACACCAAGAAAAGCATAAGCCAAACTCACTCATTTTGAAAAGGTCAAATGAACTACATGAGTCCATTTCTATCACTCAAAAAAGACCTCAGTCAAAGAACCCAATAGAATTTCAGCCTTATTGACATGGTATTTAGGTATTATTCCACAAAATCTATATATATGTACGCAAACATACTCCTACTGATCCCTAAAACAGTCCGAAGGAGAGGGTGAGTGCATCAATCTCATCTCTGATTCTTGATTGAAGCTGCATTCTCCCCAAAAACAAATTAAAATAAAACTTCACTAAAGAAAGATGTCTGTCAAGATCTTTCCAGTGACGATGAGAAGAATCTTCAATTTTTCTTTATTCCTCTTCAGAAGAAAAGACTAGGCTGACAAACTAAATCACAATGATTAAAATAAGCTCTCATCAAATCTCAAACAATTCATAAGGGCATTCAATATCTGCATCAACTGATAAATCCTTTGAACTAACTGTGAAACAGGCACAAAACCCAAAAAGAGTTGAATAAATCCCTAATTGCAGAGAACAGTTCCTGAAAGACCTGGGTAGCCCTTCTGGGGTTCTCTCTTCAGCCAGTTGGTCCAGTTGTTCTCGTAAAGTAGCAACATACTGTAAAACTAAACACAATCATAACAGAAAGAGAATGATATGAACTCCACACCCTAATAGTTTCCAAATAAAACATAGAAAAAATCACATGATACACAGAGTAAAACCAAGGCATCGTGGTTTATTGACTGTACAAATGAAAATGGTAAAATACCCAAAAAAAATTATCCTTAAAAAGCATATAAATATACCATTTTCGACCAGAGAGGAAGAGATACAGCATGGCCATTTTATCCAAACAACAATTTGACTTGAAAGATCAGAGACATACATGCATGAGCTTTGACTGATTTTGTTGGTGTGGAACAGCTTCAAGCAACCTCCTCAGGTTGATTTCAGTTCTTCTCAACCCCATCAAAATTCATTAAACGATTGAAGAGAATTTCACTCAGAAAAATAAATTAGATACTAAATAGCCACTAAACCCTTTCATAACCCAAACGATAAAGAATAATTTAAGATCTAAAATTGAACCATTCACTAGTATACATAATTAACAATTATGAGGACAAATGGTTGCCCAAATTAGCTTAATAACTAGTGGGAAATATCAATGTTTAGGGTTTTATCATTACCAATAAGAATCTTGAAATACCAGGATGAAGAATTCGGGTCTTTGGAGCAAAAGGAAAGCAAATTCAGGGAACTTCCAGCAAAATTAGCACACAAAAAATAATAATAATATTGGAAAAAAGAAAATTCAGATCTGAAAGAGAAAATAAAATGATAAATTAGAGATAAGACTTGATGGTACCTCTCCGGGGAAGGTAGTTGCAGTAACCGATAGGAGGATTCGAATAGGTTGGTCAAAATTCGATTAATTGATACGAATTGGTACGTATTAAGAAAGTTTGAGTAAGATTTTAACGGGTTTAGATAATAAACGGATTAATACGTCAAACACGTTTAATAAACGGGTCGTGTTCGGGTGAGACCTGTCAAACTATTTATCACACGTTTATCCGTTTAAATAAAATTAATATAATAATAAATTAATAATTATTTTAAAAAATTAGTAAGAAAAAAAAAAGTAAATAAATTAATTAAAAAAAAAATAAAGTAGTAGTTTAAAGACAAAAGAGATGAGATGAGGAGCACTTCAAAAATAGAGGCAAACTAATGTCTTTTGTTTTTATCTCAGATTGGAAAATGAGGAGAGATGTGGAGGGTTGAGTTGCCTATAAAAAATAATGACCTCTTGTTTTTTTGTTTAAACCTTCAAGTCTTATTTTTATGAGATTTGGTTAAAAATTTCTCTTTTTTGAGGGAAGTGCAATTGACAATAAAAAAAAGTGGAGTATTAAAATTTATTAGTATAATTTTTTTAAAATTAAACGGGTTAAACAAGTCGTGTCGTGTTATCCGTTTATTAAATGGGTCGTATTCGTGTTAAGATTTTTTACCAATTTATTAAATATGTCGTATATAAGTTTATATATTTTCTACTTGTCACCCGTTTAACCCGACACGTTTGACATCTCTAGATTCAGGCACCATCAATTTTTATTTTCACTTAATTATTTATTATTCAGTCAATTCTTATAGTTTTTTTTAACTAGATTTTTTATTTAGACTCTCTCTATATTTATTATTTAGAAAATCAAATTCACTCTGTAATCTATTTTTTTTAACAGAAAAATATTATATTTGTCTTTTCACCTAAGATATTTAAGATAAATGTATCTCATTTAAAAAATTAATTATTCCTCGTACCTGAAGGCACGAAGTAATAAAAAAAAGTCTAACATATTTGTATTCACACTCAAAATCAAATCACAAACATAAAAGAGAGATAAAGAAACTTAAACATCGATTATAGTGGAAGTGAGTGGTGGTAGTAGTGGTGAATGATAGTGGTGATGGTGGGAGACGGTGATGGTTGTGGTGGGTAAAGCGACTACAGTGATGGTGGTAACAATCGTGTGTGGCAATGATGATGGTGGTGGTGGTGGTTTTGAGTAACGATGATGATAGAAACAGTCATGAGTGATAACGGTAGTAGTGGTAGGTGTGGGTAGTGGTGGATGACGGTGATGCTGGTGACGGGATGATGACATTGGTGGTGGGCGGTAATGATAATTGTGGTGGGTGACGATGGGGTACTTCTAGGTGACAGTGTGATGGGTGGTGCGATAGTGGTAAGTGTGGTAGGGGTAGCTAATAATGGGTGGCTGTAATAGTGGGCTATGACAAGTGGTGGTGGTTGGTGGTGGTAGGTGTGGTGGGGTAGGTGACAGTGACTAGTGGTGATGATAGACGACGATGGGTGATGGTGGGTACTGACGATGGGGCGATGGTGGTAGTGGGATGATGGTGGTAATGGTAATAAATATAAGAATAAGATGACGATAGTAACAATCGCTGGTGGGTGTCGATGATGGTGATGGTGGCAGTAGGGCAATGACGATGGGGTAGGGGGTGGAGGTGGGGCAGTGGCAATGGTGGCAATAGTTATGATGGTCATGGGGGTGGTGGGGTGATAGTGGGACAGTAACAGTGGTGGTAAGGTGCGACATCGGTGGTGATGATGGTAGGGTGCGACAACGGTGGTGGTGGTGGTGGTGGGGTGGTGAAAGTGTTGGTGGGACAGTGGTGGTAATGGTAATGATGATGGTGGGGTGGTGGGGGTAGTGGTGGGTGGCAGTGGTAGTGGTTATGGTGGTGGTGGGGCAATGAAAGTGGTGGTAGTGGTAAGATTGTGGCAACGGCGATGACGGTAGTGGTGATGGTGGGGCAACGAAAGTGGTGCTGGCGGTGGCAGTGGCAGCGGCAACAACGGTGGCGGTGGTGGTGGGTATGGTAGGGTGGCAATAATTATGGCGGCGACGGCAATGGTGGTGGGTGGGTGGTGAGTGTGGGGGCAATGGTGATGGTAGTGGTGGCAGCATTGATGGTGGTGGTGGTGGTAGTGGTGGAGCGGTGGGGTGGGGGTGGTAGAGATAGTAGTGGGGCAATTTCAAACACTATTTTTTTTATAAAAAAAAGTCTTTACGAGAAATAACTTCTAGAAAGTATTTTTAAAAAGTCACTCTAAACACACCCTTAGGGACCTATTTTTTCTATTAAATTTGGGGTGTTAATATTGATCATTAAATTAACTTTAAAATAAAATTTAAAGCGATTTTAATCTTGAATAGTAAAAGTCATTTTGTTTATCTTTGGAGATTTGAATTATATTGTACTTTATTATATAGATAGAAAAAAATATAAGAAAAGTCAAATTTATTGTCAAAAAAATAAAACAAAAAATAACGAAATGTTAAGAATAGAAAGTGTTATTAGAGTGGTGTGTAAAAATTCACTCTCTATTATAACATTTTATTAAACATGCTCTCTATTTTAGAAAACATGCTCCCCAGAAATGAAATCATTAGTTAATTGAAGAATAGCCAATTAACTGGATCATAAAGTTGTCAGTCGACGAGATCTATCCTCCGATCTTATGATTAAATGTTCATCCTCATAAGGAAAGCCAAGGTTATTCATTTACATCTTTAGTTAAAGGAATTCAAGTTGATCAAGAATGACCTCAATAAAAGGTGTCTAGGTCATCCCCACTAAGTCACAAGGAGAATTAACATTTTTAACTCAAGACAAATGTATGGACCGAGTTTCAGTACTCACGGACTGGCTAAAAGATCAGGAGAGCGTCCCAAAGCAAAACAACCTCACAGCAAAACTCTTTTAGAGATATGAAGGACCACAATACATCCAAGCTTAAACACAGGTCACAAAGGTCACTTCAGCATGTTTTAAAAGACCGTGTCATATCTAGGGAATGTAGTCACTAACTGCTCAATATTTCCTCAACCAAATTCTAATAAATTTAGAGATCATGTGATGATGATATATGGATCATCTCACTTGTGGTTATAAATACAAAAGCTTTTTCCATGTAATGGCATAAAAACCAATTGTAACCTTATCTTCTTCTCCAAGCAATAAAAAACTTTCGAGCAGCAAGAGACTACATTAAAGTGAACTAATCAAGCTTTCTAGCTTATGAATCACTGTAATTTGTGTTGTTTCCCAGCTCTTACCTATATTTTACGATTATTGTTGTATTTTCTAGAGCCACCAGGCTCAGTCATAGGTCAACTCCATCATCACTGTTCATTCATATATCACTGCTCATAAGTCTTAATTTCTTCAATTCAAGCACTCACTTCACGTTTCGAGTTTATACATTATCACTCTCTAAAATAGAGAGCATTGTTGAAGATGTTCTTAGTAGGAGAGTTCTCCCAAAAGTGGTGGACAAGTCATCGAGGCCCCATTGGCTAGCTTTAAACCCTAGTTTTTGGTTGGGTTTGTGGGTCATGTATATAGGAGTGAATAACACTTTTAACCCTGATTTTTTTTAAAAAAATATTTAGTTTATACCCTAAAAGAGTAAAACTCTCTCATTATATCCTTTAATCATTAAATCATATAAAACTGGACTAATGTGGTCCAAAATTAAAACGTTCGTTAATTTTTTTGTTTATACTTTTTTATTTATGGATATAATTAGTTGTACATTACTCAATTATTTTTTTGTTTATAAAATTTTTAATTTTTTGCATGATTGAGGATGTAACGTAAAATTCTAATTTTTAAGGTATAAATTAATTGATTAAAGATATTTTGAGGTTAACAATGTCATTCGCTCCATGTATCTTTATGGTTCTATTTTTTTTTTATCTGGATAATTATCATTCACAAGTATATTTTCAATGAATCTCATCTATTATCTAAAATATCATTGTTTGTTTGTTTGTTTGTTTTTAATATTATATTTTCTATATGATGTTATAAATTGAGAGGTGTTGGGTTGGGTTGGGTGATCCTATTTGATTGACACTTTTTTTAATTTATATTTAAATATCACTCGACACCCCTTGTCATTAAATGATCCATTTTTTTAAAAAAATATCTAAAATACCAAAATTGCTCCTACGGTCCTACATTAACCTAACAACCTTTCTACATAAAATTGGTTAAAATTTGAGTCGATTAAAATTTATTTTTTTACATATTAAAATTTGAGCCAGTTAAAATTTGTTTTCATATATATTAAAATTTGAATTGATTAAATTTTATCTTATTATGTATTAAAATTTATTTTTTTACATATTAAAATTTGAGTCGATTCAAGCTCAACTTGAGAGATTAACGCCTATTAAAATTTGATTCGAGTTGATTAAAATTTATATTTTTTTACTTATTAAAATTTGGATCAATTAAAATTTGATTCAAACTAATTATAATTTATTTTTTACGTATTAAAATTTGAGTTGATTAAAATTTATATTTTTTATGTATTAAAATTCGGGTCATTTAAAATTCAATTTGACTTGATTAAAATTTGATTTT